TATATCTGGAGTGATTTGCAAGCAACCTGATCAAATTCTATTGTTAAATGCATGCCAAGTGGATGTCTTAGCCTAAAGAATCTCACTGTAAATTTTGATGAGATGGCTTTCATCATCATACATAACCCTAACTAATTACACTACTTTAGCATGCTATAGAAAGAAATTAAGCAATTGTGTGGACTTATATACATTTTAATTTTTTCATTGATGCATGCTTGATTTGTCATTTTTTTTTCCAACAAAAGTCGGATTACTCACTTTTATTTCGATTTATCATGATGAGAGGCGGAATAGATATATTCATCTTTTGAAGATGGTTCTTTATACTATTTATGTTTCATAATAATTGATATACGGTATATATTTAGTTAAAGTTGACAATTGTCAATACACTAGTTTAGCATAGCCCTATATATATATATATATATATATATATATATATATATATATATATATATATATATATATATATATATATATATATATATATATATATATATATATACAAATTATTAAACATTAATAAAAAAAGAAAGTTGATATTTTAAAATCTATATATATCAATATCTTATAAGCAACAATTATTTGATTGTTAATTTTTTCATATAATACATTTCATAGTCAAAGTTTAATTAGTATTTCATATAAAAATGCACATACTATATATTGAGCTACATAAGTACATAGTTCATTTTTAATCTATTTTGTTTAAAACTTAAGGTATGGGGGATTTCCCTTCTATCATAGGAGATGAGGAGTCAAATCCAGGTGACACCTGAAAGAGATGGAGGGACTAACCATCCCTCCACTCCTCACTCCTTTAGAAAAAGAAAAAATGGCACAGAGTAAATTATTTTACACAAAATATGCATATTCATCTATTCCATAAATTTTTACCAAGTGAAACTTATTTTATGCATTATGGTAAAATAAAATTATTTACTTGTTGCATTTTTTATTATTTTTTTATTTTTAAAGAATACATGTTGCAAATTTAACTACTCCTTTGTGTTTTAATAAGTGTTACTGTTAGATCAAACACGTACGTCGAGACACAATTTTGACCATTAATTTATCTAATCATATGTTATTAAATTCATTGAAAATTGATATTATAAAAATATTCGTTATAAAGAATCGAACAATGTAAAATACAATAATATTTGTTTTTTTATATATAATATATCAAACTAATCAAGTCAAAACCATTATGTAAATATTGAAAAAAGTCAAACTGAAATTTACATTTATTAGAACACGGAGGAAGTACAATTAAAATTACTCCCTAAGAGCAAAACAAGCCATTAACCACAATATTATTTTTTATTTTATTTATTTTAATAAAAAAAAAATTACTCCCTCCGCCCACAATTATCTGCAACATTTGTCATAAGTGGGTGTTTTCTATTATGTGCAACAATTTTTTATCTTTCCTCTTTTAGTAAATTTTAAAGTGTAAAAAGACTATCTTACCAAACTTAAATATATGAGACCACTTTCTCTCTCCTATTTCCCACTCACTTTAACCCACTAACAAACTTAAACATATGGGACCACTTTCTCTCTCTTATTTCCCTCCTTCTTACAACTTAATTAAACCCACCTAAACTTAATTAAACCCACATAAACTTAATTAAACTACAAATTTTGTATAAGAGTCTGCAAAAAGGACATTTGGTGCAGATAATCGTGGGCGGAGGGAGTGTAAATAGTGTAACAAGTTTGTTGACACGGATTAAACATCAAAATAAGAATCACACTTTACATACATCATCCCTCTGTAATATTATGCCACATGGACATTAGGCCATAAATTATGGAAATTGACAGTAAGTAGGGTGTTAAAACAGAGAAAAAGACTTTCTTTTTTAGCTGAAAATAATGAAGTGTCAAATGAAAGGCAGTCAAAAGTCAAAAAGTAGCAGCAATCAGTTAATAAAGAGTACGAGACCAGACAAAATAGACTAAGGTTAAACCTTTTTCTCTGAACTCTGAAGTAACAGCCACTGTCTTTAAACTACAACTACTCACTTCCTTCAATTTTTTTTTACCATTATTTCAAAGTTTTACCCTCTGATTCCCAACACTTGGGTCTGATTCTCTTGTCTATGACAGTAAAAATTTCTGTGAAAGCTTTGGACTTTTAGCTAACCGTATCCAATTTGTCATTTCTTATTTCTATATTTATTTTTTTATTTATGTATTTAAGGTGAAATTATCATTCTATTAAACGTTACAGAGGTCAATTGCTAGTAATCAAGAATAAGACCAGTTCTTTTGAACGTCTAAACTCTAGACAAATAGAGTAGATCAGATTTCAATATAACAGGGCAGATTAAGTCGTAGAATAAAATAGAACAAGACCTCTTGTAAGAGAATCATCTCTAAAGGCCTCTAGTGCAAAGTAATTACATCGATTTAAGCTTTAAGGTATGTGGATCCGATATGATATGTACCAGTATTAATATTACAAGCAGTAGTATTATCTTTTCCTTTTAAATTAGGTTCATTAAATATAGTTGTATAAAAAACCTTTTAATATTCTTTCCGTTTTATATTAAAATTTATATAGTATAGTTTTATAATATTGATAAATATATATAGATTTGAGGGAAAGGTGGGACAGATTTCATGGATCCCAAGGGCACAAAGCAGCCACCATCACAGGAGGATGTACCACCACCACCACTTCTTCAACCCCACTACTTATTGAGCCTCCCACATCCTTCAATTACAACATCATCATCAACATTAATCCCAATTAATATGGTTGATAATTCCCATAATCACCTTAATCCCACCCCCAACAACTCTATTAAACCTTCTCAAATCAAGGATTTCCAGATTTTAATTGCTGACAAACAGAATCAGCAAAACCATCAACAACATGAGCAACACCAGCAACAGGAAGATGATCAGCATCAGCAACAACAGCAGAATCAGCAACAGAAGAAGCAACAACAGCAGAATCAGCAACTGGGGCCTAAAAGAAGTTCAAACAAAGACAGACATACAAAAGTAGAAGGCAGGGGAAGAAGGATCAGGATGCCTGCACTCTGCGCCGCAAGAATTTTTCAATTGACAAGAGAATTGGGTCTTAAATCTGATGGAGAAACAATTCAATGGTTGCTACAACACGCTGAGCAGTCCATCATCGCCGCCACAGGAAGCGGAACGATACCGGCTTCGGCTTTAGCAGCTTCAGGGGCCTCTGTTTCGCAACAGGGGACCTCAATTATCTCTGGTATCAACCAACAACAACACCATCATCATAAAATTGATGACTTGGGTGGTCCAAGTAATAGACCTACTAATTGGGCTGCTGCTTTGGTAGGCATGGGTGCTGCTGGGGGTAATTTGGGAATTTGGCCACCTCCGCCGCAACCCCTTCAAATGTCAACAACATCAACAACAAGTATTAATAATAACAACAACAACAATCCAGCAACAGCAACAACAGGGGGAGCAACTGCAGCAACTTTGGTGGGTGATGCTGGTAATTACTTGCATAAAATTGGGTATCCTGGGTTTGACTTAGGTGGGGCTAATCTTGGTCATATGAATTTTGGACCAATTTTAGGACATCATCAACAACAACAGCATCAGCAACACCAGCAACATCAACAACATCAGCAACATCAGCAACAACATCATCATCATCAACATCATAGTAATCATACAATGCCTGGTTTAGAGCTTGGTTTATCACAAGATGTTCATGTTGGTGTTTTGACCCCACAAGCATTATCTCAGATTTACCAACAAATGGGTCATTCTAGAAGTGTTCATGACGTTGGAAGTGGGTTGAGTTCTTTGCATCATCAACAACAATCAGATTCGAAAGACGATTCTCAAGATTCAGGATGATTGTTTTCATAGAAACTTAGCAGTTTGAAGGTAGGAGACAGAAACATGAGTTTTTTTTTTTTTTTTGGGTATTGTATAATTTGCAAAGTTGAGGGAAGATGAGATGGATGAATGGGGGATTAATTTCAGTGTAATGCTGAATTTTCTCTCATTTTCTGTTTTTAATCACTCAAAAAAGATTCACAATTTTGGGTTTTTTTTTTCTCTTATGTAAATTTTTAAGTGTGATTTAGAATTTCATTGTCATAGTTCTGTTGTTTGTGATCATAGAGTATGCAGAGAGAGAGGTGTGTTAATTATATTCAAATTAGGTTTAATTTTCATGGAGAAATGAGAATCTTTGATTTGGATTAGAGGTGTATTGATTAAAATTTATGTTTTTTTTTTTTTTGCTGTCATATACTCCCTCCGTCTCTCAAAGTTATTCCGTATTCTTGTTTTGAATTTTTTTGTGAGACAATCACCCTCCAAACAGGAAGAACCGATAGAGGCGGACTTTAGAGACGGAGGAAGTACTAGTAATATTGTGAAATTCATGAGCTTTATTTTAAGTGTATGATGATGATCATAAATAGGGTAGATATCTATGTCTGCTGCTTCTTATGGAAATTAATGAAATATAGAGGTGTAAGTGCACCATATATTTGTCATACTGTAATTTTATATAGTGCATGAAATTGAAAAGACCATATGCTGACATCTGCCTCTGCATCTTACTTAATTTGTACTGAAGACCATGTGCAGCCATTTACAATTGCAGGTTGAGGAGGTGCATTGTAGTGTTTTTACACTATTGTTTTTGTGATCTTCAAATTTTATATGGCATGGTTTGTACAATAGGCTAAGATGTTCTCTAGTTGTTAACTCTCTAGCCTAGTGGGTTGTGGTAAGCACTTGGTACACGAGCCGGATTAATTGCTTAACTAGTTAGGCAACTAACCCGGGATGTATAATGCTTAATGCCCTTAGTTTCTTAATTATGAACTAGTTTGAGTCATTAAGGGAGTCCTGATAAAAATGTTAAGAAATAGACTTATTTTGCAGCAGAATAGCTGTTTGTATTCAAGCATTGGTTACTTTTTTTGGGTAAGACTGCATATATCAGGCCTTCTAAACCGCCTTTTGCATCAGTTTGCAGTGTAAGTCAATCAGCAGATGATGCTTCTACTGTAAAATTGATGGCGCCTGTCATTTGAGACTTGAGATGTGGAGAGTGTAAGTTATTGCTGAGAAATCTAAAGTGACACTCTAATAGTTAATATAGATATGGCCATTTACCTTCATTTCCTGTGGTAAGTTATTCTGTAAGTTGTTCATTTGCAGTTTTGCCACAAGATGCAGACATGATTCCTATTCTTACAGATAAACCTCGGTGTAATATATTGCCCTTGTCATGATCCGAGTCTTCGATGATAGCTTTTTTTGGCCGGAAGGGTAAGCTTTGTCTGAACTGTCCTTAATGTGCCTCCCCATAAGCTGTTTTAAGTCGAGCATTGTGATTTTCTGCCTGCTTATCATTTCTGTCACACATTACTAGGAAGCATTTCCTCAGGTTCATGAATATCATGTTATATGCCTGTTTAAGAGTGATGTCACAGCACTTGAAAAATATCCTGAAAAACTTCAATACTTGTTTAGGTGCAGTGTAATACAGAGTTTAGCACATCTCCTAACACATCATAATACTGTCTTAAATTTAGAGTAATACAGAGTTTAGCATACTTCCTTTAGACATAAGAAATCAATAAATATGTTGTCTTAAGAATGAGTTTTGACCAAAAGATTTTGTGCTGCAAGATATTACTGCTATATTCTGTCACACTCCTTCAATTTTCCTCTTCTTACTCACTAATTTTAGATGTACAATTTTTGTTGTATGTCCTAACATTGATTTTTAATCAACAACTATATACTACTACGTATGTGACTTAGAATATTCATTCCACCTCAAGTAACCTATGTCGGATCCTCTACACTTTGAGATGAGGATGCATGGACAACACTTCATAGCTACTAGCTAGTTTGACACTTCCATGGAAAAATTTCATAACAAGCCTAGCCTTGCACTAGTACTCGTACTCATGTTTGACACAGGAATACGAGGTCTAAGCAACATTATTGTATAATGTATAGCAATAATTTGTTCCTTTCTTTTTGTGTGTCGTAGTTCTGGACATGCCACTGCAAGTCAGTTTCGACATGTATTTGCTACTGCATATCTGCAAGCTGAATTACTTCATAAACTTCCATCAAGTTTTTTTCTAGTTCCATGCATGTTTCATGCACTTTAATCTGCATAAATCATGTATGTCATTACCAATATGCAGTTGAGAACTCTTCAGCCTCTTTGTAACTTAGTTTGTTAGTTGACACAGAGTTCACAATACACATGCCATTGCAGGGACACATACCCTATTTTCCTGGGATTAGTTTTCTGCCTCATATTAAGTGCTAGTTTTGTTTAAATGCAATTTTCATTAATAAAATGTATACTTTGTTTGTTGTTGTCGTCATTCGTCAACTGTTAATCTGTTGTAACAAATTATGCAGGAAATGCAGAATTTAAGCCTTATTTTTGGGTGGGTGTAACTTTTCCCTAATTGAGGGAAGTGTATGTGTTTAGTCATTTAGTGTAATGTTCATGCTAATAGGTAGAATTAGCTAGTTTATTAGCTTTGTTGGTTGAAGTCTTAGGGAGTGCCCAGAGTAATGTACAAAAATTGGATCAAATCTCGTTACATCATTGTCCTTTGTGATTCCTCTCTAGTCTCTACACTAAAAAAAATGTTGTATGTTAATGATTTCCACGGAAAGAGTTAAAAGACTTTAGACATAAGAGATAGGACAATGTTACAAGGATTGGAAGACTAAATAATTTGTATATTTCTAATTAGCACGTAATATGGTTGTTTTCCTTATACTTCATAGTTTATGTTAACTTTTTAGGAATGTATAAAATATGATACGGCTATTGATTTATAAAAAAATCGACTAGATTTTAGTTTTTAAATAAATCAATTTACAAATAATTTGCGTTTTTATTGTTAGAATCATCGCAAACAATACCGTCTTATCTGTGTCAGTAATAAATAATAAACTTATTATACATCACATATTCACATGCATCATACGTAGTATATAGTATCATACACCACCTATTTTTAGTGATGAATATTGTGAAAATGTGTCCTTTCACTAAGAGAACATGTCTCTTTAATTAAAGGTAAATCCTTAATTTGATTACTCCATGTGAAGCAATTTCACTAAAATGTGTCTTTTCATAAATAAAAAAAAAAAAAAAAAAAAATCTATTAATTAATAAGATTTCTCTGATTATAGTGAATCAAAGCACATTCATCATATAAATGTTTTAACAAATTAAAAGCCTTAAACTTAAACATTATTGAGCTAAACCTCAATTTTCTTATCTGCTGCTAGATTTGTGGAGGCAAAGTGTCGTATAGACGTATACTCCCATTATTTTTCAGTGTCATTGTTTTCTTTAATTAAGCTTTTCATGACTACCTTTTATACATTTGTTATCATCTACTACTCCACTTTATAAGACTCTATTATTCGAAGTATTTAATTTAATGATTTTTTTTTTTAGAGAGTCATAAGGGTGGGGGTGAGAATCAATCCCATGATCTCTCCTGAAACTGGAAGAAGAGCTCTAACCACTTGAGTTATCCCTTGCTCTCTAATTTAATGAATGTTAATAGTAAAGTTGTGACGTGTTTGACATGTAGAACTTGTATTCCTCTTAAGATCGATTTTCTTGATTTCCATTGCTACAATAACTAAATTAAATTATGAAAACATTGCAGTACGTACTACATGAATCTTGAGTGCCGTACCAATCATAGGTACGGAGATAATTTCTTACCCTTTTATAAGACTAATTTCTGAGAGTGGGAGCATTATACATGTATTATTGTAAAACATCTTTGAAAGAATATTGGACTTTAAGGTTTCAGAGGGCCAGTAATACACATCTTGTTGGATTTATAGTCCTATTACTTCCATATGCACTCTAATTAGGCCTGGCCCAGTTTAGTATTCTTGTATGAGAATATAGTGCGTTTCCAATGATTGCTTAAAAGTTTGACTTTGTTTTCTTGAAATTGATATTTTGTTGACTAATTTCAACTTTGACATTATTATTAATTTATTATAATTTCTATGTTGTATGATATGCTCTTTGAAAATATATTTTGTAGGATATGCTCTTTGCTTAGCGCAGAGGTTCGGTTACGCACTCTAATCTTTGGGTGGAGTCGGACGCGATTAATGTGATTAATGCAATATCTTCTCATGACGATGGTCTTTCTCCCATACATGTGGTCTATTAGATATTGTTTTAGATAGAGAGAGTTTTAATGTCAGTTTATTTTCACATGCTAACAGGAATTGTAACACCGTAACTCACCTCATTGCTAGGGGTAACACAAGTGGAAATTCAGGATTAGTTCGTTTTAATAATTTTCCACAAGCTCTATCTTTTCTTTCAAAAAAAAAATATCTATTACAAAATATACTTGGTTATAACAATTAAGTTTATTTTATTTTATTTTTTTGAAAGACTTAATTTAGTTCAGTTGTATTTGTTGACCAATCAACATTATTATTAAAATTGTCCGTGGTGGAAGTTGAGCAAATACTCATTCTAACAATCTCATACAATGAAGATTACGGATTTGATTATATGTAAACGTATTATATTCCTTATTTAAGATAAAAGGCGATAATTTTGGAATTAAATCAATCATTCATAATATCTCTAAACCAACGTGATAATGCTTTTTGTTAATTTAGCTGTCTGTTGATCAATGCATATACAAATAATACAATAATACAAGTATAATACTTTCCTCAAAATATATATATATACGGAGTACAAGTATAATATGACTTAACCTTTTATAATTCTATTAATTAACAATGAAATTTCCATATCATAAAAAGATGAGATAAAATGGCATCTTTTAATCTTGATTGTTCTTTAGCACGTGGGAGTTGTTTTATTTAGATTCCCACGCTTGAATCTGAATCTCAAGTATAACTAATTATAAGGAAATTAGAGGAAATCTTGAATCTGATGCACACAATCGTAAAAAGCATGGAACAAAGAGTAGTATACTACTCCCTCCGTCCCCGAATGATAGTCACTTTTGGGTGAAAATCACGGGAATTAAGGAGAAATAAATGAAGTACTTGGAAACTAAAACCCAATCATTTGCAAAACAAAAGGTAGAGAGAGAAAGTTGATGTCATTAAAAAGGGGCGGATTACAAAGAGAAACATTTGAGTTTTTTTTGTCTTTATTACACAGCCATGAAAATAAAACAATGCATTTGTAATCCATGTGATTGATTTTTAACCAATCAAATTAGCTGAAAAATTACATCATCCAATAGAATGAAAGTACACGGATTCATGACTAATGTTAAAACTAAAATCCTTATAAAAACCACTCCTTCTCAAATTTTCAAATCATTTGAGAGGGAATTTTACAGAGAACAATTCAAGAACTGAAAATTGACACTTTAAAAAAAATAAACACATTCAAAGACACCAAATCACATCATTGCCTCCAACTCCAAATGGCTTCAGACTTCAATTTGAATGATGACATGGATGAAGATGCTGCTGCTAATGATGCTGAAATGTTTCACTATGATCTCAACTTTGTCTACGATGATGGGATTGACTCAGAAAATATTGTGGATTACAAGCTCACACAAAGGACACACAAGCAATCTCATCTAACCAAACAAGTCACCAAAACACAATACATGTTATATGGCAAAAACAAAATGCCTCCTAACATCATACTCCCATCATTCATCATTGACCTTATCAAATTAGGATCACTCACATAATGTCTTATTACCTAATGGGATAATTGTGAAGTGGTCAATAATTTGAACATCTAAACATATATCCCATTGGTAATAAAACACTAAGTGTAAGGACATGTTATGACAAAAGGTCTTAGATTTTAAAGTTTTTATCATAATAGGCAAATTGAGCAGCCAAATAAAACTCATATCATGCTTTATAGATTCCTTGAGGAAGATGGTACCTTGTGGTCTAAATGACATGAACAAGATCCTATATGCCTTCTAAATGCCCAAATAAAATATTATCACAGACCTCATCCTAGGCATATACTCAACACATCAACACATCAAACCAACATCAGTATACAAGTACTCAAAACAGCCACACATCAACCCAACATGAGTATACAAGTACTCAAAACAGCCACACATCAACCCAACATGAGTATACAAGTAATCAAAAAATGCCAAACATCAACCCAACATGAGTATACAAGTACAATTTTAGGCAACCAACAAGGCATATCCAAACAAGGCATATCCAACCAACATAGGCAACCAACAAGGCATATTTAACCAACATATCATGATAATAGGCAACAAAATTAAAACTCAATCCAAAAGAGCATATCAACAAGACTACCAAAGATCATCATCATCAAAAACAACAAAAAAACCAAAACAAAACCAACAAGATAATCCTCATGTTCTAAATACAACCAACCATCACATTCAATTATCCCCAGTCTTAGAAAACAAAAGAAACCACAACAAATAACAGCTAGGCATTCTGAAACTTAGCTGTGAGATTCATTATCAGAATCCTTTCTCTGGGACATAGGCAACTTAGAAGGGGAGCAACCACCATCATCATCATTGGAGTCTGAACAGTCTGAGTCCACATTGTCATAAGGTCTTGGCAAACCCTTCTTCCTGCATTGCCTTCTGTACCAATTATGAGGCCAATAGTCAGAGTCTGCAGGAGGCATTCCTGTTGGGACAATTCCAAATCTAATTCTCAAAGTCTCATTGCTGTAACTGTGCTTCCCATCACAGCCACTGCCTAATTCACAGTCACGGTCAGTGCATTGGTAGGACTCAGATGTGTAGTGTGATCTGGAATCAGCTAATATCCTGTCAATAAGTGAACTAGTTTGTTGGTACAAAGGAATGGGAACACGGGGTTTGACAGGAGAGTTGGCAGGAGCTTTCACATTAGAGGTAGATGGGAGTTTAGCTGGAGATTTTGGTGGTTTGGCTGGAGAATTAGATGGTTTATCAACCTCTTCTCTGCTTGCCTTCTGCTTTATATACATTTCATAGCTGTGAGTGTGATGAGAGTGTGATTCATTTGAACCAGGGGACTGACTCATGGTCACAGGCAACCTGAAAAGCAACCAGGGGACTCACTCAATCATGACTTAATCAACATGTAACCAATTAAGACAGCCAACCATCAAAAAAGCAAGTGTAAATGAGTATACATTGTCCCAACATGTTTAAATGAGTGTACAATCACTCAAGACAACCACACATCAAACCAATATCATTATATGAGTATACAAGTACTCAAGACAGCCACACATCAAACCAATATCATTATATGAGCATACAAGTACTCAAGACAGCCACACATCAAACCAATATCATTATATGAGTACACAAGTACTAAAGACACCCACACATCAAACCAACATGAGTATACAATCACTCAAGATGCATAACAATGGGTCCTTTGTTCCTGTTTCAACCATGAAGCATTCAAACAAAAGGACTCATGTTATAACAATGTCAACAATACATAACTAAACCTCTATTATTGTTTCCCAAATCATAGCTCTCATATATTGAATAGTGAAGTGTACATGCAACTGAATAAATAAATATACATGCAATTGAACATTGACCCCTAAATCATGTGAACAGTGAAACCCTAATTCAAGTGAACAATGAAACCCTAATTCACAAAATTGAACAGATAACCTTACTAGGGAAAATATATAAAATCGCAAACATAAATATTCACAATATAATCAAGATTTAGGGGAACATATTTTAAATCCAAATCATACTCCATAACATTGAACGAAATCAAGATCCATGGCAAAGAAGTAAACATCGGCAAAAATAATCCGAAAATTGTAATTATTTCAGTAAAACATCATAAAGAATCAAGAAATACCCCATATAATCAAATTACTCAGACCAGAAAATTGAAAAAAAAAAATATACAGGAAATCGAAAAAAAAAAACGATGCCTATCACCTTTAAAAAGGGCGGATTCACAAAATTAGATGAGGGCTTTGATTCGTTCGAACACGTACAGAAAAAATCAACAATTTTTCCGGCGCTTTTGAACCCCAAGTTGCTCAATTTTAAGAGAGATAATGAAGAAATGAGTCGTTCTTCAATGGAAGAACCCAGAAAACCAAAGAAATGAAGAGAGAGAAATTAAGAGAGAGAAAGCACCGTTTCAAAAGTATTCAGAACACCAAAAATCAAGGGAGACAATTCATTCATTATGGCACAAGTACAAATACAATTATAAGGGTATTTTGGGTATCACAGATAATAAAGCCAAAAAAATTGAGGGCATATAAGTAATTTTGTGTTATTGTATGGGAACAAAAAATGTGAAATGTGACTAACATTTTGGGTGTCCAAAAATGAAAATAGTGACTATCATTCGGGGACGGAGGGAGTAGTATATTGGGTAATTTTTTTTGTAAAATATGCATCTTAAATTCTTACTATTATATGCCAAAGCCCCCTTCATCATCAAATCATATTTGTGTCATGTGTTTTTCAATTATTAGTATACGAAGTATTGTTCACTAAATTTGAAAATTCAAGATATTTATATGTTCTATAATTTACATTTGTATGGATCATTATGCGCGCTATGTGTACCTTTCCAATCAAAATAATAGTAGTTTGTATTTATTTAGTTCATCAAATTCAAATTTTCAAATAACTGTAAAATTTTTAAAGTCAAATCACAAAGTTATTAAACTTTGATCGAAATCATTTTATTACACACTTATCTAGTATTCTAGTTCATAATAAATCAATTTTGAAGAGCTTTACAAAATAACGGGATCATTATGTTGAATAACGAAATAATTTATAGAATCTATTCAAAAAAAAAAAAAAATTATAGAAAGTGAAGGTCATATAAATTGAACAAGAAAAACATAGATGGCTAATCGAAAGTGAGCTTAATGTCACACACGCAAAAAAAAAATTAAAAAAAAAATTAAAAAAAATAAATGGAGTAAATTAGAGTAGGACATGCTCTTATTTACTGAATTGAGCCGAACTGAACTGAATTGTTTATGAGATAAGGAAATTAGGAACTGAACTGACCTAAACTAAACTGAAATTAAGCTGAAGAGTTTAAGCCCTAAAGATTGAAATATCTTTATTTATTTTATTGAAATCCAATATTAAGAATTTTTAAATTAAACCAATACATATTATTTTATGAGGTGATATCACAAAAATCTACTACATACTTCATTTGTTCATTTTTATTTGATCCGCTTTGACTTTTACACTATTTACCACCCCTTAGCTCTTTTGACCGTCTTTTGTAAATTTTATGCAAGAAAAAACA